CCTCGTTCGGCTCGACTTCGAGCCGCACACTCAGCGTCTCGTTCCTCCTCGAGTGCCTCAGCTTTGACCTCACATTCTTTGCACTGCTTCGCTAAACGCGCCAATGCGGCTTGTTCCTGTTCCAGTTGTGCACTCAAAGAGTGCGACTCTGCTTCTTTTCGCTTACTTCTCGACTGCAAATCCTTGTGTTCTTGCTCGATCTCGTCGATGCGTTCTCGTTCAATGCGCACATCACCTTCAACTTTTCGCTTCTCTTTTTCACTGTCCGAACGACGTCGTTTCTCCGTTTGCACTTCATCTTCAAGCTCATTCGTTGATTGCTCAAGTTTTTTGAACATTTTTGCGTTGTTTTCATTCCTTTGCTCGCGTTCTCTCAAATCCTCTTTCAGTTTAGTCATTCGTTCATTTTGTGCCTTTCGTTCCTTTTGAAGTTTCAGAATTTGCGTTTCTTGCTGAGCAATTTCCTCACGTAGCGAATGCATTTGATTGTCCTTTGCCGTTTTTTCCGCCGCTGATTTTCGTTTTCCAAGTTCAGCGTCCTGTAGACTTTTTCGTATGCCTTCAATGAATTCCTCTAGCTTCTTCACATTCATCTTCTCTTTCTCTGTTCGTTCTTCTTCACTTCTCAATTCCGCCGTCATACTGTCTATGTCAGTTTCCAGTTGTGTGTTATGTGTTGTCAAATGGTCAATTTGATCCTCAAGTTCTGTATTGCCCGACTTCGAGCTCTTGATTTCATCGATGATAGCGTTCTTTTGAGCCAAAACCATCCGAAGTTGCTCTTCTAATTCTTCTCGCTCCCGATTCTTCAGCGTTATTTTCTGTTCAAAACTGCTAATGTCCACTTTAACTTGTTCCATCACCTCCTCCAGTTTACTTGCTCTCACAATCGGCATTGTGTTGATGAAGAGTGAAAGCCATGGCCATCTCATTAGGTTTGCCCAATCCGAAACATTCGTTTGAATCACTATTGTTGCTGCCAATTTCTCGCGACGTTCCTTCAAATCAATCTGAAACGTAACATTTATCAATAGCTCATCTTATGCCCGCGTACATCTATCACTGCTCTGATACACACAAAACGGATACATGTGTCATCAAATCAGTTAGGCGTAAAAAACAGACCCATCCATCATATCTGAAATGTTGCAAGAAGAAAACCGCGACAACCTGTAAAATTCCAGGCCATTTCAGCCCACTTTCAGCGTGAGCATCAGGCCCAAGCCAGAGCATGAGCACGACAACCTAATGAGATTAATTTGAAGCCAGTGATTTTCTGCATGCTCTCAACGCGTTGTATGATAATCATGTTGAGTCGGTGCTTGAATTTTGGAGAGACCGAATAGTTCAGTTTTTTGCTAATCCGACGCAATGGCACATTCAATCGCAAATTTTTGCAGTTGTCGTTATCAAGGATTGAATGAATTCAGCTGAATCAATGAGTTCATTGTATCGTTTCATTCTCCAATCGTTAATCAGTTCACGAGTTCGGGATCATTCGTTTTGTGTATTTCATTACTTGTTACTTGTCATGCGTTATCGTTTATTCTTATTGGATATGTATGTCAAAAATTTGAAACCTACTTGTTTACAATAATGGCGAATTTCAGCTTGGAATCCTGCGATGAGTTGGGCTAAGCGCATATCACGAAGGTCTTCCAGATGTGCCAAAACACCAGCTTTGAAGAAAACCTGAAGTCGCTTTCGAAAATTGATCATCTGTCATAATATGTAAAAACGATTTATTATATTGTGTCATATTGGTTCAGCATTATCATATCGGTCATCGATTCATCTGTGACCAATGTGAACATTTGTATAGTCATTTGTATTAAAAAATGCATTTTCTGTTACTTTCGTTTGCTGATTCAATATGCAAAATAATACCTTTGTAAGTCCGACTTTGAACATATTCTCGTTCATCGAACCTTCTGAAATCAGTTTCTCGAGCATTTTATTGACGCATTCCTTTGGATCTGGGCTTGAGGTTGACTCATCTGCACATAGCAGTGCATAGCGTTCGACGAAGTCTGGATGTGGTAAACGATTTGGGAATCCTTTACGGCAGATACGAATCCCTTCCAGTACACCGTTACAGGTGAGTTGATTTAGAACGAGCGCAGCATCCAAAAGACCTGATTTCTTCTTTTCATTCGGAATAATGCATCGAATGAAGTGTGGATGAGTTGAGTAGAGCATTGACATGAGGTTGTTGAGAGATTCGCGGTAGAGCATCGATACGGTCATAAATGAACCGGATTTGCCTTTACGATGACCACCGGATTTGGATGCCTTTGATGCTTCTTCCTGTGTTACATAATCGGACCATATCTCATTCAAAAGGGTATTCCCTTGTGATACTTTCAAGCATGCAGCTACAGTATCGTTAAGAGGGTCCTTATTCTTTTCAAGCCAATTTGTC